CTGACTTAGTATTAAATATATAAATAAACATTTTAAAAGAACAGTTTGAACCAGTATTTGGGGACCAAGTGGGCAGGTTTTCTGGTGACATCACCAAGAGGCAACTAATGAGCATTGAGACAAAATGGTTTTGCAAAGCGCAATCCAAAAAAGGAAAAAAGTATGTTTATATCAAGTGGATGGAGAGTACTTTCGAATATATTGTATTAGCCTTTGATTTCACAAACTAGAACACTGGTTTTTAAAGGGCCAGGTCTCCTTACAAAAGCAATCCTGTGGCAGCCTGTCTGCTAAATATATGCTCATTTTGAGGCCATGAGCTTTGCTGACTCCACCTATGGCAACCAACGCAGCTCCCGAACTGACCTTAAATGCGTGTGTTACGCAACCTTGATAAATATAGATGGGTTTTCATTGTTTCTTTTACACAGACTAATGAACATCATCTTATTTACTTTTGGGCACAAATTTACTTGCACCACAAGAAAGATCCTACCTCTCACTTGGTTTGTGTTGTTGAAATTGTTTCACTATTTTTGATGGCTTCCTGTCATATTTCCCTAATTAATGACTCAGTAACGTCGTTCTCCTTGGAAGTACTCCAGGTTCCAAGTAATCTTGTTGCTCTTGCACATCCCCAAGGAGCTTATTCAGGCACCAGACCATGCATTCTCTAAGCTGATTGATTCAGCTTAAATAAAATAAAAGGCTCAGTTCTATGGGTACCTCATATGATATACCCCATGCAGGGGTGTAGCTATTGGGGGTGGGGGACAAAATGAGAGTATTATAAGTAAGAATACTTTTCCCCCAATGAAATTTTCCTTCAGTCTTCAAATATCTAGCATGAGAAAAACCCATACCTAGAACTTTTATATTTGCTGTGTTCACATTCCTCTGGCCCTTTTGTTTGGATGACTAAGCTCCATTTCTAAATGTTCAAAAGAAATGTAAAGTTATTTTGATGCTAGAAATTCAGGAACTGAAGGAAACTCACCAGGTTGAAGACAAGCCACAGAGATTTATTCAATTCAGTCAAAGTACAAGCATAAAACATACAAATAAAGCATGGTGTCTTATACAGGTTGACAGCAATTCAAAACTTCTGCTCTATCCTGATTAGTCAAAAGTGAGGTCAGTCTGGATCTGTGCTCTATTTGGCTGGGAGATCTGCGGACATTGCTACTTCCAAGCATGGATTCCCTTCTGTGGGGAAATGACAGCTAGAGATTGGCCAGCCAGAGAACCAATTAGCTGATGGGACATCCCTTTGGGAGAGGGCATCATTTGCAAAGACAAGTGTTAAAGAAATGATAATGAACTTTTGATTAGCTCAGCTGTCAAATTCCATTTTGACAAAGATAGGAGTTTCCGCAGACAAAGGCCTGAGGCTCCTAAAACAAAAGGTGATGATCTTGGGCAATCAAAGGGTGGTCTGTCAAATAAGAGGTTTCACAAATGTATATTCTCTGAGCTTCTGTTTCCACAGTCACAAATATCTCAGCCTTAATTAGATCATTTAACTAGACAAACAATTCTGGGCTGATCTGGGCTGACATGGGAAACTATCTGTCTTTGCACATATATAAACAATGGATCTTGATGGTTACCTGTCTTGGGAAACAGCAAGAAGGATTTGCCCAACCTTCTTGTTCTCATGGAAATACCTCAGCAGGGTTATGGAGAGGTGACTGTCTCTGCACTATATCTTGTTATATTTTATTTAAAAGTTTATATATTTTATATAAAAGAAATAGATACAGTACACAGAAAGATACAAATGTTATAGTTTTCTCTTCTGCCTCTAAGGAGGAGTTGGGAGAGGAGAAAGCTGAAGAGGAAAGGACTGGGGATTCTGAGCAGATGGTTAGGCCTGCTTGGGAGGAAGAAGAAGATGAGGGAAGTAGGTTGGCTGTTCCTACTTTTAAAGAATGCCGAAGGGAGAAACAAGCAAGGGGTAGATCAGCCAGGATTGCTGAAAAGACTTGCAGCAATCAGACCACTCCCTAGTAGACACATGTGCTCTGGACTATAAATCAGGAGCAGAGGAAACAGCTATCACTGGCAGTAATAGATCCATCTAGCCTTGATCCTGTATCTATACCAGCCAGAAGCCTTATCTTTGTAAATGTTTGTTGCCTGGAGAAGAAATTACCAAAGACTTTATTTTGTTCAGCCAAGAGACTTTTGCCTTGTTTTGTGAGCTTGCCTTTTGTGAAATTGTTTTTGTGAATGTAATTTTGCTCCTTTAAACTTTGCTTTAGTAAAGCTTTTTTAGTTCCTTTAAACTTGGTTTTAAGGCTATTCTTGGGGTAAAACTGGACAAGTTATACAAAAAGTAAAGAAAAGCAGATACAATTTATTAAAGGGTTAGAAATTATAAACTCTTTGGGGAGTAGAGGTGGAATGAAGCTGCTGCCAGTCTGCTCCCAATCTCTGATACTTTAAACTAGTGAAATTCTGGACACTCAAATCAGGTATGGAAAACTGATCATGTGGTCACCTTTAGGATCAGTCAGTAAGCTTGCCAAGCATGAGGCAAGAATCCACAACAGTGATTCTGCATTTATAGAACTCCATGCCCTAAGGAACACATTTGGTGCCCCCCCCCCATTATATTTAAGATAAGTTCTAAGGGCTTTTAAATTAGTCTTAAAAATGAGATATTACTGTGTTCAGTGTTCAAGTGCTTTTCAATCTTCTATTGGAATGTTGAGTTCATATGAGAAAAAAATGTGGAAAAAATACTGTTTGTCTTTCCTCTATATTATATTTAGATCTTGATGTGCACAGAAATATTAAAAATAATTATATTTATTTATTTATTTATTTACAACATTTGTATACCGCTTTTCTCACCCCGAAGGGGGCTCAAAGCGGTTTCCACATCGGTAATGGCAAAATTCAATGCCAGCACAAACAATTACAATTATACAATTACAGTTAGACATACATCAAATTAAAATACATCCATAAACAGTAAAACAATAATTAAAACAGTAAAACAGTCTCATCCGTCGATATGTACAAACAAAATTATAACATTCTAATCTTGGTTCCAATGTGTTGGGGTTTTTTGTTTTTGTTTTTTTTTGTAAAAATGTCTTATATCCCATATCTTAAATTGGGTACACTAAACACCTAGATAAGGAAATAAAATGGGCTCCCTTTTCTTACATACTAACACAGCCAAAGGAGAAGAAAATCACATTAAAGAATCATCAGATAGACTTTATTAAATTGCCAGAAGCAATTTAAACAACTGTGTTTTAATTTGAGTCATTTTAATGTTTTAATAAGTACTGTAGTTCTAATACACTTTACTGAATCAAATCAGAACTGTAGTATCATATTTTCTTTATTACCTAACTGGTAGGATATGTCTGCCCAAGCACTCTTAGATTTGAGGAAGCAGAAAATAACACTAATCTCAACTTTGGTTTTTTTTTGTTTTTCTAGAACACGCATTTTACTCTACGGCTGGCAAATTGTCAAGTCAGCTTTCTCAGAATGCATTCGCATAGTTGAACGAAAGAAAGAAAAAAAAGCTTAGTGAAGAGTGTAACCAGAATCCTGTGTTAGTTAGGCACTTGTGAAGATTATATGTTCACAATTTTGTATATAAGATACACATAAGACTATGAAAGTTCCCCAGTCTGCACTTCAGATCCACGCAGGAAGCATTTGGTTGCTGTTCCAAACCCCATTTCACATAAGCAATCTCCAATGCAAGGGCGAATTGTGCCATGGATCTTGTTCCTGCCTTTCATGCCAGTGATTGCACACAGACACTTGAAATAGCATACCTCTACTTCCTGAGACGGGAACAGATCTCTGTCAATCACAGCAACTGCCGCCTTATAAGTGGAAATTAACACCACAGATATGGTGCTACGTATTATGCGCCATTCTGTGTAAATGCTGCATTGGAGTGTGATGGAATCTCCTTCTCTGAAGGTTTTCAAATTGATGCTGGAGGGCCATTGTCTGGGACACTTTGTGTTCTTAGGGGTTGGACTGAAGTGGCCTCTTCCAATTCTGATCTACAGTACATAGTATTCTATCTTTTACATGTGATGGAACATGTTTATTATTGCACTGGCAGTATTTGTTGACCACATTACGTTGCCTAAGAGTGAACTTATTTTTATTCTTTTTTCAGGGTTAGATCCATCCTATGAGAGCTGAGGAAGTGGAAAGACACAGAAACTGTAGGACACAAGGCTAGGTGTCATAAATGACTCTGTTCCCAATATGTTGTATTTCCTCTTTCCATCTTTGCTCCAATTTTATCCAAAAGTTTAAAAACCGGAACATAAAACAGTATTTTAATCTAATTCTAGCTATTTAGGGAAGGGTTACAGCAATTACACTGCTACGATTCTGTAGCTAGAGGTCTGAATAAGGGCTTTCCACTTTTGGCACACTTCACTGGTCCAAAGGATCAATGGTATGTCTTTCCAACAGATACTGGAATAAAGTGCTGTTACATTGAGAACTTTCTCAAAATGAAAATGGCAGTTTCCTAGATAGATAAACCCAGGGGGGAAGTATTTTAAATTGTGAAGGTTGGCCAGGCATCAATGGTGACCTCTACTGGGGTCTCGGCAGTTTTCTGAGAGAGTTCATTTGGAGATGCCAAGCCTGATGATGATGATGTTGTTGGTTACTAACTATACCCAGGAACTTACTTGCCTTGTACTGAGATAACCTGAGAATTAATGACATTGAACACCTGTGCTTTTTGTGAAAATGTCTGATTCAAGTAAATCAGAATGCGATCATGTCTCTCTTTTGCTTGCTTTTTTATTCAGCTATAATAAATGATAGCATCTCTGATCCTTTGAGTTTGGAAACCTTAAGAGTGAAGCAATAGCTAAGTGAAATGCTACAGGACTGAAGAATAATGTATCAACAAGGACAACTTTTACCTTCAGTATTGCAAAGGAATCAGTCCAGTTCACCATCAGTAGTAAATAAAAGAATCCAGTACAAGAATATCACTGTGCATTATAAACCTTTTAATATTACTGTAGAGTACACTGTAGAGTTTTTATAAAACGCATCTATAAAAACAGTGCAGAAGCAATAGAGGCTGAACAAAGACATGGAACTCGACATGACATTTAGTGTGATCAACACAGAATACTGCACAACCTGGCGTATGGCTCTGATATTACTAATATTCAGTGCATGACAAATGCCTCGGCCTATTTCGTCAGCTATGCAACCATTGTAGGAATTGGATCTACCCAAGAAAAAGTGCTGAATCATATATGATGACAAGTGCTTAAGTGAAGAAATTCAAATTCAAAACACCCATTTCATTCTATAAAGGAGGAGACCATTGAGACAATTTGTTAGAAATTCAGGGCATATTTTAGACAATTTTTGAAATTACTTTCTTCTTCTCAGAAAACCCTTAGCATTTTGAGAAGTGAGGGAAGATATGAAAGTCTAGTCCAGTAATATAACATGCTGTGTACAGTTCTAACTGAACATGCTGTGTTCAGAGGAAGGTGAAATGTTCAGTTGTTTATCTGAATGCTTTTTTATGTGTTGCCTTTTTGGTTTTGTTAATGAACAATTACTTCATACTTGGTGCCTGAGGGAGAAGTGAGGAAAAGACTACCTACTAACACCACCTAGGATGTAATGAAAATAGCTATATGCCACGGAGACACTGAAACATTGCCTAAACAATGAAACAAAACATCAAGGCCAAAAATATCACATGTCTATGAGATTATTCTATAATCTAATGGCTCCAAACCTCTGGTCCTCCATATGTTTGGGATTTAAACATCCCAAAGCCCCAGGCAGCTTGGTCACTGTCAGAAATGCTGGAGGACGAAGTTTGAAAACCACTGCTATAATCCCTCAGAGGGCAAAATATTAAGATTATTTCTATGGTTGATTTCATGGGGCAAATAATAATCTACCCTCAAGATTAAGATTCAGTTTTGATCTGGCTAGTGTTCTTTTCATGGTTAACTTTACATTAGATATCTTTCCTTGTGGACAGTTTGCAAGAGGTTAATGGTGCCAGTCTACTAAATTCAGATGCTGAAATACCCAGAAATATGACCAAGAGCCTTGTCACACTGCTGCTGGAATCACCACACACCATGGTGAATCCGATGACCCTCGTGGTGTGTGTGCAGGGGAGGATCCCCCACCCCCACGCTGCATCACCTGGCTCCTGATTTTATTGATTTCATGGGGGGAAGTATAGATCAAGTGGCTAGACCCTAGATCACAGCGGAAGTTCCTCTGTGTCATGGGAGCTGACAGAATCCATGGATGACCTAGGGCTAAATTGGCGTATGCCACCGAAGAAGCCCTGTATGATGAGGTTGCAAGTCTTTTGACATGGTTAGTCTGAATGAGATGGAATGATGAGGGTTTAAGATTTGTGAAATATTGGTGACTAACTCAGCCATGAATACAGATTAAAAACTGTCATCACATCTGTTTAGATATGTTCAACTAATTTTCAGTGGAAGGGGTTTCAAAGTATGCTTATAGTGTACAATTTGGACAAATTAAACTGGAATAGAACATGGCGTAAGGGAAAACCATAAAATGATTCCAAAATGAAGGTCCTGAGTTTTGCTTCCTCATTCTGCAGACCAGAAAATTTGCTGATGCTAAGTACAATAACTGTATCATAGCCTATGTCTCTGTGAGAGATGTGGGAATTAGAGAAAGTCAAACATTAGTCATTTAAAGTGCTGGGACTTTCTTATTTCACACTTTATTTACGACAAAGCTGAATTGAAATCATAGACCACTATTTTAGCTCTACAAATCTGCTCAGTTACTTAGAGCTACATGTTAAAAAGGTCAATGGCTATATATGTTGATTGGTCAGCAAATTGTTTTGCAGCAATAAAGCAGATGCTAGCTGCCAGGAAGAGAAACACGGACAATACATTCAAATATTAAAAAGTCATACAGCTTACCAAGTGTTTATCCATTCACAATGGAAGTGGACAGTGAATTAACCAATGACAGGATTAAGAAAGACCAATGACTCTCATGCAAAAACTTGATTTTCCTCCAGTTTGTTTTCATGTGACACATCCAAAAAGTGTCCACAGTATTAACAACATCCCACAATAAACATCACATTTAGTCTTTTGAATTGTGTACTGTTTTTTTACTAAAAAAATTGTGACATGCAAGTTCTATCAATTCCAGCCCACCAAACAGTTTGTGTTGCATAAGAAAAATCACAACCACAAAGACAAAATACCACCGTACAAAGTTGTACAAGTATAGCAGCACAAACGCAGCCAGTGTGAAAAATGTCCAGTACAAGAGTGAAATGCACTTAACAGCCATAACCCTGAGCTCAGATTTACAAGGAGGAATTTTGCTTCTCCTTGATGCATCAAAGTATTTTTTGCCTTCATAGAACAAACGCAGCCTTTCTTCCTTTTCTTCCCAACGCTGCTGACACCAAAGTTGCAGTTCTTCCCGTGATGTCGGAAGAACCTCTACTGGGTATCTCTGGACGTGAAAATGAATTTCCTTTGGGAAGTTCCCATACAGAAGATGCTTCTCAGTCTGTGGAATGTTTTGAGGATATGCCACTGTTATGTCATGGATAGCATCAAGGTTATTACCTAGGGAAAAACAGAGAAGACAATGAAGACAGCTAATGTCAGTATTTAGAAAACTGAAACATTAATTCAATACTGTACACAGAGGATGGGAATCATGTAGTGCTCCCCTATTGGGAGATTTGCTACAATCTTGGCAGTATAGTCAATGCTGAAGAATGCTGGGAGTCTGAGTCCAACAGTATATAGAGAGCCACATGATTGCTTCACCTTCTTTAAATCATGAAAACCCATGGAATGTCATTCCCCAATTTACTGAAACTGGGAAAATATGTCAAAACTTTTAACAATGTTTATCTGTTTGTTTTCTCCCTCAGCGTTTTCAGAAAATTCTCAAAATTCTTCCACCTAAAGGTCAGGAGGGAAACTGAGGCTAAGATACTTAGTCTGCAGTTAAGTCATATCTGGCCACCAGAAAAATCATAGAAAGATCATAGTTCATCTGTTGGGTCAGATTAACGGTCAAAAGTTCTATCTCCCACCATGATCAATAAAATATTCACAGAAAGCTAACAGTTAGATCACAGAGGGAATAACTGGAATAATGCACCTGAATAGCATGCTGCCAATCTCTATGGAGCATGAAAGTGTTTGTGCCGCTAACACAAGTTGAGGGCACTTGGAATGAAACTATTTTTTATCCTTGCCACTGGGAACTTTTAAAAATACCAATCGTTATTTCATAATATTGTATCATTTTATGTTGAACACTATCTAAATTCTCTACCCAGAGCACAGGAGGGATGACATCTAATGGAAAAACCAGAAGAGGACTGGGAGCAAGAGGGAAAGAATAGCTTTGTTCCTTTTGTTAGCTTGTCCATAACCAAAATACAATTAAGTATTTTTCCCTAAAAATTATCAACAATGCTTTTCGATGGATTAGTTGGCAATTCTACTTGTAACCACAGAAAGATAATGCTCCATGTAATCTGATATGTTCTATTTGTTGCTGTTAACAACCTGCTGTCTAGGGAAAGAAGGTTGTGTCAAAGATACAACCTGAAGGTTGTTTAGCTGTATGGCATTTGAGGCTGAAGTGAGTCGGGACTGTTGTGTTAATTACGTGTTCATGCTGGAAATAAGCATTATGTACATTTTGGGGTGAAAAGTCTGACCCCACTACTTCTCAGTGTTTTTCAAATTCTGAAGTCCAATATTTTACTTAGATATTTTTAACTGAAACACTATGGCAATGTAATCATCATAAAACTGCACTTGATGGTGCTCATATACCTTGGAGAACTGTATGGATGTACTTGTAGGTACATCTTTCTTATGCAAGCTACATGTTGGGTATTTTTTTCTCACATTCTAAGTAAACTAGATAATATTACAACCTCTGTTTAGAGGTACCTCTTCTGTATATCATTTTGCACTTCAATCTGTAACATCTATTTTGTCTTTCTTTCCTTTGATGATTTAATCTAGATAGTGAACCTGCTAAGAGCAAAGAATCAGAAGCTTCTGTTTCCAGTCCACTCCCTAGCAGTGCTAGAACCACCACTACTAACAAAAACGGTCAAAGTAAGTTCCGCACAATTAAACGGAAATAAAACTTTTCGTTCCAGGAATTTTTTTTTTTCAAAATTTGTTGCATAGTGTTATACAATGAAGATGAACCTCCTAGTCATTCTTAAGTAGAGGTTAGCTACTGAGATAGGACTGGTCAAAGTTCAGCTCTCCTGAAACTGAACGAAACTTCTACCATGTCTCACCCCTATACTGGCCAAGACAACTGGGAATTGCAATCCATTCTGCGTCACTTTGCCCTGTGTTACTAGATCTGCTCTCATCATAATTACCTTAAAGCAGTTTTAGATTAATAGATGATACCACTTTCTGTTTAAAGTAAGCTTCTAAAATTGCTCTTCTCTGTCAATTTACCCCAGGGTATGCCACCATGAACATTGATGACTAAAGTAGATATAGGTATTCATAGTAAAAGTTATTGTTCTACAATTGCACGATCTGCTATGTCCGAATATTTAATTTCCACATGTATTTATTTACTTGATCTTTCTGCTGCTAAACAAGCTTCCTACTTCGCCTTAGCTTATACATAGTATAAATACAGGAAAATGCTCATTTCTGAATATTCAAAGGGATTACAGGTTTCTAAACATAGCTATTATCTGGGCCATGCATATTTTGGAACAACACAAAATGGCAGCTTAGGAGATTTAAATAAAGTGCTGGTAGTTGTGCTATCCAGAGATGGCAAACTTCAGCTGGTTTATGTAATCACTGTTGAAAGGAGCATGCCCTTTCTTCACAGAGCATTAAGCAGCTGGAGCCATACTACTTATCTTGTAGCGGTTGTAAATGTTCTCCACTCATACTTTGCCTTTTGTTTATTAATAAGTGCTGGTCATTAAGTAAAGAAAATTTCAAAAATTGGAATATTCTGTCAAAGAGACAGAAAGTCTTTTTGAGTCAAAGGCATCCTGAATTGATTTTCGTAACTCCTCAAAAAGGCTCTCAACTCAGGGCACAGCTTTTCCTGACAAGCAATGACTAAGAGTCAATTTACATTGTAAAATAAATGCAGCTTGACATCACTTTAACTACCATGGCTCAATGCTAGTCATAGGAGCTGTAGTTTTACAAAATCTTTAGCTCTCTTTACCATAGAATGCTGATGGCTTATCCAATTCCCATGATTCCTTAGCACTGAGCAATGGCAGTTAAAATGATGCCAAACTGCATTAATTCTGAAGTATAGATGCATCCTCAGATGATCCTCTTTTTCTCAGTGCCTTAATTGCCCATACCTATGTTTCAAAATGTTTTCTGAGTATTTCTTGTGTTCAAACTGTTGTTATCTGCTCAATCAGCAGTGATATCTCATGGACTTGGGATGGAAAGCCTTGCCTTTCTTAAAGTCAGAAAGAGAAGGTACCATCTCTAAATCAGGGAATGCAGCACAACCAGTGACAGATAGACCCTCACATTAATGTTATTATAGCACCTAATAACATTAAGCACTCATTCATCTCCTTAACTGCCAGGCAGATAAAGTAATAACTTTCTCCCAAGTGACGTCACATCCCTCTACTTCAGTCTTCTGATGTGCTGTGACTGCAATCACACACATATACACCCAATTATAGAATCATAGAATCAAAGAGTTGGAAGAGACCTCATGGGCTATCCAGTCCAACCCCCTGCCAAGAAGCAGGAATATTGCATTCAAATCACCCCTGACAGATGGCCATCCAGCCCCTGTTTAAAAGCTTCCAAAGAAGGAGCCTCCACCACACTCCGGGGCAGAGAGTTCCACTGCTGAACGGCTCTCACAGTCAGGAAGTTCTTCCTCATGTTCAGATGGAATCTCCTCTTTTGTAGTTTGAAGCCATTGTTCTGCGTCCTAGTCTCCAAGGAAGCAGAAAACAAGCTTGCTCCCTCCTCCCTGTGGCTTCCTCTCACATATTTATTTAATTGCCTTGTTACACTGCCTATTTCTAGATCTATATTTTCTTCCACCCCCACACATCATTCACAGGGCTGGATTTATAAAAACACAGCCCTATCAGTTCTATTACTTCCACTTAGTCTAATTTCATGCATTGCATATAATTGTTGTAATATATTTTCTAATTGGGTTGCGGGGACTTTTCTGGGCTGTATGGCCATGTTCCAGAAGCATTCTCTCCTGACGTTTTGGCCACATTTATTTATTTATTTATTTCGGGCATTTCTACCCCGCCCTTCTTAACCCCCGAGGGGGGACTCAGGGCGGCTTACAAAAGGCACAATTCGATGCCAGCAATACACATAGTAAGATAAAATGCACAAAAGCAACAATTATAAAATAATTAAAGCAATCCAGTTATACAATACAACTAATAAAAACCAATCTAGTGATCAACATCTATGGCAGGCATCCTCGGAGGTTGTGAGGTTTGTTGGAAACAAGGCAAGTGGGGTTTATATATCTGTGGAATGTCCAGGGTGGGAGAAAGAACTCTTTGTCAAATTGTTCATCCACATAGTTTGGTGGTTTGAATGTGTCATTGCTTTTACAAATGAAGCTTATAAATGGCTTCCATGTATTATCACATAGATCTTCTTTTATTTCTTCTCCTGCCAATCTTAATTGATAGGTTAACTTTTCCAATTAGGCTACAGTCCATATCCATTTTATCTCATTCCTTATTGATAAATTATCTAGTGTTTTCCATGTTGAGACCATATTGAGTCTTGTAGCACATAACATGAGTAACATACAGGTTTTGTTTACCAAATCCTTATTCTTACTTTAAATTACATAAATCAGGAATGGTGTTCTAGTTACACTGAATGCAGCCCCTCAAAAAAACGAAATCAAACAAAATCAAAACCCCACTTGCCTTGTTTCCTCTGCTGAAAGACAACCTCATACATGAAGATTCCTAATCAAATGGAGCAGTAAAATGTACCATGGTTCCAGCTACTGACAAGTTACTAAGCAGAAAAAACATTCAGAAAGCATTATTGTCTGGCTCCTTTCTATTAATATTTCTTGAGAACCACTTGTACTCCACTTAAAGTTGCTCACATTTCAGCATCTAGAGATATGATGTCTTTCTCAACATAATTATGGTGCAAAGTTAATTGCTTTGAGCCCTTATGTTTCAGGCCAGCAAGAAGCAAGTATAATACTCCTAACTAAGCTTGTGACCCTACTAGCAGCTTCCCTAATAAATCACACTCTTCAGTTAAATTGCCATTTTCAAAAGTAAATGAAAAGCCACTTTTTATCTCATGTACTGTGTTCGATTCTTTTAATCTCCCTTTTAATAACAATGTATTACTTGATACTACACACACTTTGTTAGTTGAATTTCTATTAGAATATTTAAGGAAACTATTTCTGCTCACTATAAATCAAGTTTTAAAGATATGAGTGCACATTATATGTAAAAATAATCAATAGCTGAAGAAATCTACATCAAATAGTCTGGAATACATTTTTCCTTTGTAATAATGCATGCTGATCAGAGTTGCAATGTGACTTTTTA